ATGCGTTTCTCTTTGCAATTTTAGTTTAAATTATTTTCATTATTTAATCTTCTAGTTTTCTTTCAAGAATATTACATTCCATACTTAAAAACTAGAAGTTTATATATTTTATTTTTTAAAAAATATTACTATACAATCTTCAAAACTCTGTAAAAATATGTATTTCTTCTTACAAAATATCATCGACTACTATTTTAAGCAAATAAAGCCATTTGCTTACATTTTACTTTAGATTTATTAGACACTATTTAATTTATTAAATACTACATTCAATTTTTATTAGCTAATTAAAATATTACATTCAAAATATATTTTTATTAAAAAATATTGAAAATATAATAATAACAAAACACACCATAATGGTTGAATTGAAGAATACAATAGGAATAGGCCATGAAAAATATGACGTAGGATCAAACAACTTGCGCAAAGTGTTCATCATATTTTTCTTTTTATGCAACTTCATCAAACAACTTGCAAAATTACGACTCCATTTGATTTTTTTCAAGTTTATATATATATATATATAATCATTGACTTTCTTATGAATATATATGTTGAGATATTTTAGATATTCGATTTTAAATTTAGTAGATTTATATTTAAATTTGATATAAATTAGATTATTTAGATTTGCATGTTGGTTGGTCATTTACCAATGTGCGTTGGTTGGTCATTTATTTATTTTAATAGTAATTTTGACATAATGATTATATGAAAGAATAGTATATTTTTATACAAAATTGTAAAATATAAATAGTAATTTAAAAAAAGTAATCTTTTTTTTTTTACGCGATATGGCACCGAAATCATTATTCAACCAGCCAAAAAATAAAAAAAAAATAAGAAAAACATAATCAAAGGCCAATCTAATTGAACCACTTTTGAAACTCTAAAGAGCCAAATTGACCTTTTGGGTTACAAAATACAGTAAAATAATAAAAATATCTTCTTAAGGTGATGTAATCAAAGGCAAATCTAATTGCAATAAGAGCATTGGGAGTTAATAATAGATAAACTTATATTTATCTTAATTTTTTCATTAATTTTAAATTGAAATGATTTTACAAAAATTTACAAATTGTCTTTATTTACACGTATATATATATATATATATATTTTTTTTTTCTAAATATAATTTATAAAAAATAATTAAAAAATCATGCGAAAAGTAATATAGCAAAACTGAGTTAATATATATAATATATAGCAAGACTTTTTCTAATTTTTAATAAACATATACTTTATTAATTACTCATTACTAAGTGCATTACAATTATATTTATAATTAATAATATTAGAACTAATATAATTAAAAAAAAAAAAAAACTAGTATATTATATACTATTCAATTTAAAAATAAAATAGTCATTTATAATATCTATAAATCATAACACTAATGTAAAAAATGTGTATAATCTATATATAAAATAACACATTAGTGTGGGTCTTGTTATTCATATCTTCAAAAGAGTCTTGTTCATCCGTTGGCGATTTTATTTTATTGCGGTGTATTTTTTTACTATGCAATATCTCGCAATTTCTATATTTACAAATATCTTGTTGAACCGACCTTCACAAAATTACAATATATTATTGATGTAAACACTTGATCTTCTTTTATATTTGTTACTTTACAATCATTAAGAACTTCTTGAATGTTGGAAAGACTTTTTCATTGTGCTTAGAAAGCGGAATTAAACACATTTAGGATAATCATCAACAAAGGTTAATTATGATATATTGACAATTACCTTTGGAGAGTGTAGGTGAAGGACACCAAATGTTAAAATGAATGTAGTTAAATGTTCCTTTGTTTAATGAATAGCGGTCGTAATCTTACCTTAATTTCACTACTTGTCTTAAACACAATATTTATAGAAATTAAAATTTCTGATATTATGATCTCCCAATAAGTCTAGTTTGCTCATATAGACACCAATGCCTCGCTCATATGCCCAATATGTATATTCCACAAACAAGCATCACATAAATCATGATTTATGTAGAAATTGATGTAAAATCTACAACAATACTTCCCTAAAGTAAATAGAGATTATTTACCGATTTTTATGGATCACAACGAGAGAACTACTAGAAACTTGTAAAACTCTCTACATATGTACTTTTAGCTAAATATAGCGATATAAAAAAATCATTAATAATTGAGGAATCTGTAATTTTTTTTTCTTTTAAATTTCAGATATTATTTTTACCGTGGTCTTTTTCTATGCAGTAATGACATTAATTTTTACTGATTCTTTTCCTTTGTCTGTATCTTATGTGAATATTTTTTTTACATGCTCTACTTTTAACAACCAAACCATCAAAATGATCATCAATGAAATAAAGTTTTTCGGATATTTCTATTTAAATATGACCATATCATATTGTATCAACAAAGTGTTCAAACATCAACATAAAGAATGTAATGATATCAATGCCTAAGCCTCGTCATCAACATTTACATCAACATTCTTTAACGACATAATAATTTTATCAAAATTGGAAAAATAGTTCTCACTAGATTTATCTTCCCCATACGAAAAGTGTATAGTTTGTCAATGATTTTGTCATAAATAATCTATCTAGTTTGGTATACAAACATGCATAATTCACAATTATTCTTGTCATAAAATGTTATCAATATTATATTTTACAATATACTCCCTCCGTCCCCAATCTATCTATCCCTCCGTCTCCAATGTATTTATCCATTTGCTTTTTGCATGGACTTTTAGAAATATTAGTATTATATTGGGATAAAGTAGAAATAAATATAAAAAAACTAAATTAACCCTATTTGTATTGTATGATATAAAAGTAATGACATTTGTGTAATATATTGTAAATTAGAAGGGTATTTGTAATGTTAGGTAGATAGTACAATTACTAAAAAAAAAAAAAAAGAAACGGATACTTTGTTATGAGACGGACCAAAATGGAAAAATAGATAGATTATTAAGGGACGGAGATAATATGATTTAGGTGAATTAAATCAATCAAAATTAATTAAAGGACAACACTCCCTAACAATTTAAATGGAACCTACCAATATCTTTGGGGAATTAGAGACACAAATATGACAAATATTTAAGTCAAAAGAAAAAGAAAAGGCTTTGTTTACCCAAAGTTTTTCTCCCTACACCAAAAAATAATTTATGTGATTCGAAATAAATTCCTACGACCCCAAAAATATACAATAATAATCCTATCAATCAATGAAAAATATTAAATAAAATATGTATCTATAGAGTCACCAATAAAAAAAAATATAAAGAAAAAAAAAAAAAAAAACCCTATTCCAGTCAAATACAAAAAAATGGGCAACATAAAATAAAAATTAAATAGGGTTAATTTGGATTTGAGGGGTATGAACTTCACTTCAAGACATGTATTAGTTACAATGATAACTGGCAGATAAGAAAAAAAATTACACTATCAAATTACGTAACCAACACATTTCATTTGCAATTGAATATATAACAGTGCGTCTGGTCTTTGCTTTAAAAGTTGTCTTTGGGTTTTTAAATGAGAAATTTTTAATTGAAATAATTATTTGATCTAATGTAAATGGATAATAATATAATTTTTATTATAATTAAATTTAAATTTTAATATAATATAATAAATATATATTTGATTTAATATTTTTAAAAAAATTATAAATAATAAAAATTGAGGGTAAAATTTTATAAACACAATTTAATTGTTCTATGTATTTTTATTACTATCTTCATCGATGAAATATGTTATCATTCTCTTTGTGTTTTTACAAGGGGAATGAGAATATATTTTAATGACAGATGAGTATAATTTAATTAAATATTTTTTATTAAAAAAAATTATATTCCTTGTCTTCCATTAAATAATCATATTTTTTTTATTTTTATCCGTCACATATAATTTGTAAATTTTATTATTTGAAAAATGATCATGCAATTTAATCACCTTTTAAATTTCATAATTATAATTTTTTTTAATCTTAATTAAATTATTCAGTTATTTTAATCTTAATTTATAATTATTTATATTATACAACAATTAATTTTAGTAATACATTTTTTAATTATTCACATTTTTTTTTATGTATTCTCATATCTATAATTACATAGACACTTTTACTGAGATGGAAGGAATAGTTTTTTACTTAATTAATATACTTGTAAAAATATATTCCATGCATCTTTAATATAATTGGATTTATTTTATTTAAATTTATATTTATACAATTCAAAATACTATTTCTACTTGTTCTACTCAAAAATATTATTTTTTTTTGTTTTAGTAAAAATAATTATACATTAATATCAAAATATTTTTTACTTTTATTTAAATTACAAATATACTTCTTCAACCGTCCCGACTATCGTGTCCCATTTACTGTAGACACAAAAATTTATGAGGGATATAATTAGTAAATAATTAAAAATATATTAGTGAAAATAATTATGGTATAATAAAAATAATTTTAGATTAAGACGAAGATAACATGTCATTAAAGTGTATAAATTTTTTAAAAAAGAGAAAAATAACAGAATAAGTGGACAAATAAAAATAGAAAAGTGGACACGATAAATGAGACGACGGGAGTATTAAATAGCAAACATATCAAAATATTTTACACATTTTTACTAACAAATAAAATACTAGTATTATTTTTAATTTATTATAAAATTTAAAAAAAATACGTTCAAACAAGGCTAAAGAAACATTATTGTAACATAATATTTCATAAAATTAAAATAATTTTATAAAAGTACATTGTCTTCCACATCAACTGGTGAAAAGAAAAGACAAAAATGTTAGTATTAGGTTAAAAAAATATAATGAATTCCACAATAATACTTTGGAATAATAAAAAAAAAAGGCCAAATGACAAAAAGTCAGATATCATCATTAAAAATTAAAAATAAAAAACGGTTAATTAAAATAAATAAAAATATGTTGAATGAAACTAACTGTCTCCACTCCATGTATAAATAGAAACGAAACGAAGCAAAAGGAAGAAGGCCTAGAAATTGATTGTGATTTGTGCGAGGTAGAGCGCTATGGCCATGGCTAAGGCTGCTTCAACAACACACGATGACTGCCGATGTCATCCCCATCCCCATCCGTTGCTCAGAGGAGGGACAAGACAGACCAAATACACCCATGGATTCTCACCTTCCGACCTCCAAACCATCGCCAGTATCTCCGAGGTTTTCGTACCTTCAATTTCTCTTCCTCACAACTCGCAATTCCCCCTCGATCGGCCAATCGAGTCCTTCTTCCGAGCTTCTGCCTCTCAGTATCCTGTTCCTGACGAGGTAATTAATTGTAGATGATTATTAATTAATGAATCTGAATTTGAATTTGATTTTGATTTTGATTATTCGGATTTTGATATTGATATTGAAAAGGTGGGTGAAATGGTGATGAAAAGGGGGTTTGTGGAAGCACAGCTGGTGGTGAGGATATTGGTGAGGATGCTGTCGACGAGATTGGGGACGGCACTTCTGAGCGGGGGATCGAGTTTGGAGAGAGCGAAATGGTTAGTGAAGGCGAAGAGATTCAGTGAGATGGCGTTGGAGAAGAGGGAGAAGGTTGTGCAGAAATGGCTGGTGGAGCGTCATGGCAGCATCTTGACGCCAATCAGATTGGGGTTCGTGTTCCTCAAGTTCATAGTGCTCTTCGTCTTCTTCACACAGGTACACATCCATGCCTATACTATCTAATCAATTCATTCGTTTTATTTTTTATTTTTTATTTTTTATTTTTCAGTTAAAACACATATGCAGTAGTACAGGAAGAAGAAATTGATATAAATGAATGAATATCCAATAATTATATATATAAAAAAAAAAACACAACAGATCAGAACATACATAAACAAATAATTATTTTATACCATATGTTTATATGGAGTTGATTCTTTCTCCTATTATTCATTCAACAATTTATTTTATTATATAATGCAAAAGATTTGGTCAGAAATAAAGGGCCTTTTGAAAATTTCAACTCTGTCTATATATATATGTTTGTTTTTTAATCAATTGTTGATAATTCTATTACTTACATATTAATCAACACCATTAACTATAATAAAATTTGGAATATTAATTACTTTGGGTTAACGTATGTATATTGAATTTTTTTAAATAATATTTATGGAATCGACTCGTATAAAAACACTAAGGAATAAATCTTTTTGATATATATATTTTTTAATTTAAGATATTAAAGTTTGTTTGATGTGTGATTTTTTTTTATTTAATAATTTAAAAAATAACACATTGCGCAATTTTCAATGGTAATAATATATTTAAATATAGATTTTATGTAATTGTACTTAATAAATAATTTTTACTTAAGAAAATTAAATTCAAAATTATTCCAACCACAAAATATCAAAATTTGATTTGATAGTTTTTTCGAAACAAAAATATAATTATTGAAAATAATGAGTAATATTTATTTTTGTTTAGAATGGTAACCAAACACATTTATAATTGTGATATGACAATTGACAAGTATATAAATAATATCTATTTGGATTATTCTTAATTAGGTAAGTGAAAGGTCGAGCAATCCCGGGTGGAAAGCCATGGACTACCAAGTCGATACTCATACACCGCCGGCTCCGGATCCTCATCAAACGTCGACGGTTCCAACCAACACACGCTCCGGCGCCGACAGGCCTCTCGACAAAGGCATTGTCGAGACCCAACGTGAGACTAATGACGACACCCTCGTCGCTTCCCTGTCCGAGAAAGGCTTATCCGTCGGACACGATGCCCCAACCAATACTCACATTGTCACGTGCGATGTTGCCATCGTTGGCTCCGGCTGCGGCGGTGGTGTTGCGGCGGCAGTTCTTGCGCAGGCAGGCTTGAAGGTCGTCGTGGTTGAGAAAGGGAACTACTTCACCCAGAGGGACTATTCGGCCCTCGAAGGGCCCTCCATGAACGAGCTCTACGAGTCGGGAGGGATCCTGTCCACCCTCGACGGGAAAGTCATGCTCCTCGCCGGATCCACCGTGGGCGGTGGCTCCGCCATCAACTGGTCAGCCTGTATAAGGACTCCCGAATCCGTGCTCAAAGAGTGGAACGTCGATCACGGCCTTGGGCTCTACGGTAGCCCCGAGTATCACGAATCGATGGATCGTGTGTGGGAACGAATCCGCGTAACGGGCGAGTGCGATCGCGAGGGGTTTCAGAATCAAGTACTCCGTAAAGGGTGCGAGCGCCTCGGCCTGAAGGCAGAGCGTGTCGCGAGGAACTCAACGGCAGGGCATTACTGCGGCTCGTGCTGCTACGGATGCATAAGGGGCGACAAGAAGGGGACCGACACGACGTGGCTAGTCGATGCCGTTAACTGCGGCGCTGTCATCATCTCCGGATGCAAGGCCGAGAGCCTTGTAATAGAGGATAATGAAACGACACCACGGCGAAGGCGAGCGAGGTGCAAAGGAGTGATAGCGACGAGTACGAATCCGGACATAAAGAAAAAGATGGTAATCAAAGCGAAAGCCACGATCTCAGCCTGCGGTTCGCTCCTAACGCCGCCATTACTGATCAGAAGCGGCTTAAGGAACAAAAACATCGGGCGGAATCTCCACCTCCACCCGGTGCTGATGGCGTGGGGACATTTCCCCGAGACCGGCTCGTCCGGAGACATCGTGGAGGGGAAGTCGTACCAAGGAGGGATCATCACATCGCTGCACAAAGTGGAGGAAGATTCGAATGTGAGAGCCATCATAGAGACTGCGATTCTGGGGCCGGGATCTTACGCAGCATTGTGCCCGTGGGAGTCGGGAGTGGAGTTCAAGAAAAGGATGGTTAAGTATGCGAGAACAGCTCACATTTTCTCGATGATCCGCGACAGAGGGAGCGGGGAAGTGTTGTCGGAAGGACGGATAAGCTACTGCCTTGGCAAGAAGGATAAAGAGGACATGAGGGTGGGGCTGCGACGCGCGTTGAGGATACTGATCGCAGCAGGCGCTGCTGAGGTGGGGACACATCGGAGCGACGGGCAGAAGCTGAGGTGCGTAGGAGGAGTAAGTGAGGAGGCAGTGGAGGAGTTTCTGGACACGGTGACGGCGGAGGAAGGCCCTAAATCGATGATGGCCGAGAAGTGGACCACGTACTGCTCGGCGCATCAGATGGGAAGCTGCAGAGTGGGAGCGACCGAAAGGGATGGCGCCGTCGATCAGAATGGGGAGAGCTGGGAAGCTGCAGGGCTGTTTGTTTGCGACGCCAGTGTTCTCCCCGGCGCGCCTGGCGTCAACCCGATGATCACCGTCGAGGCAACCTCCTACTGCCTCTCCAAAAAGATCGCCGAAAGGCTTAAGAAGGGGGTGATCTGAAGTGCAAGATAAGGGTTTGGCGTTCGGATCGGATACATACATCGCAATAAAAAAAAAAAAAAAAATGGCGGGAAATTCATTTCAAAATCATCAAATGGAAAATTTATTGTAAGGAAAGATACCGGCAGCAGAAATGTAAATTAATACGGTGAAACTTCTTCTTACAAGAAGGCGCGCCCAGCCCAGTGGCATTATGGTAAATTCAAGTTCTATCCATCGGAATCCGGCTCCCGGAACGGCAATGGCGCAGTTTTGACAGCTCTCAACTTACCAACATTGTTTAGATGCTCATTCTCCAACCTGTGCAACGCCAAACCGTTACAAACATACAAATACAAATACAATACATACTATAGTAGATCATGCACCTAATTAGTAAGTAGAGTGAGTACCTGTAGTAGTTCCAATGTCCGCGCCGAATGACCTCCAAGGAAGCAAGCAAGAAGTCGATCAGCCGCGACTCAAGCAACCCGATGCTGAACCTCATCATCGTTTCCACCCACGCCACTCTTAGGACAACATTCAGCGCCTGGGATCGATCGACAGAGTTAAACGAGTGAATGAATGGAGACAAGAAGATGGAGAGAAAAGGGAAGAGCTTCTTACGATGGATGCGTAGTAAATGTATTTATTCTTGAGTACAAGATCGTCCCTAAGCCACCGGTTCCTCGACTTGGGATTCAGAAGTCCCCAATCTTTGATGAAATCCCAGTACAGCTGGTATACCGTGGCCACAACTGAGCTCACTAACATTATGCTCATCCATAGCTGTGACGACGGCTCTCTGGCATAGGTCACCCGTGCCCCGGCTGCCACCATAGCTGATACATATTTTCCCAAGTTGATCAAGTGGTCGATATTACATTCGTCCAACCATCTTCTTACACACTGCAACACAGCACATTGGATAGTCATTGCATGACATTATATGTACTCATCTTCTGTATTGTATATACATACACACCTGCATTGCACGCCAGTAGTAGGGTGCGAAGGAGATGGCATATGCGAGCTCCCTGTAGAGCTTCCCAGACTTGCAGGTTTCGTAGCGGTGTGTCTGGAAACTTCCGGCCAGGAAATAACAGCTGGCTGATTCCATGTGCCTCAACAATGGAACCTGAGAGATAAAAAGCTCGATGATGATAAGAACAAGGCGAGGTTGAAAGTTAGCTAAAACAAAGAAGCTAGCTACCTGACTGGTCAGCTGATCAGCCATGAAGAAGTCTACAAGCAAAACCTGCACAACATCACTTCATTAGGCCTAAAACTTGCACTATATATATATTTACATTGTAGAATCTTCGCTCAAGCATACCTTGTAAAATGGAGAGCACACGATATTGCGAATGATGCCAAGAAAGGAGAACCTTGTTGGGCGATAGAAAACGTTCAACGGACAAATCAGGATAGCCACAAAACTCTGCATCAACATGAGGAACATAGTTTAGAATTAATCTTGAATCATAGCAGGAAGCTGGCTAATGGATGGTTTTACCAGAAAGAGAATCCCAGGAATGAAGTCGACTTGACGAGGGGCAAAGCCAGTAGATACGAGGATGAGGTGTATGACCATAGCGGAGACAACAGCAGTCATCAAGCAGGTGCAGATGAGGAAAGCGTCGCGGTACTTGAGGGCCGTGCTCGCCTGGAAATCGAATATGAAGTTGTGGTTGATCCTCGTGCTTTTCCACGCGAACAGGTTGCATCCATACATGAACAAGTGAAGGCTCAGCAACGCGAACATGCTGCATTCACTTAACAAATTAAATTCAAATCCTCTGTTTCTACTTGTTACATTACATGAACATTTCCTAATTATGTGATGAAAATCAGTAATTTTACCTGAAAACAGGATAGACCATTTCCAAGTAATCATACGAGTACATACCACTGAGATGTGCTAACGTGGCATACACACCAAACAATGTGACAAAACTCCCTGTGAACAAACCTGAAGAAGAAACCCACAACATCATATTTTTACCAATGAAATCATTCGGAAAAGGAAAGTTGAATTTCATTTTTAATTTCTTCTTTTAAAGATGGAATATTGTCGTTACCTACAAAAAAAGTAACCATGTGAGAGTCATTTGGGTGTTGGGGTCGCAAGAACTTCATGGCCTTTTTCCTGTCACTGTTGGCAAAGTGCTGTGTGAATAATGACTCCACTTCGTCCATTAGTCTTACAACCTTTGCACAACCACAAATAACATTATACATATATATCATTGATTACTAATTTGTTCAAACCCCACCACCACTAACTACATATATATCTATATGTATGTATATTTCTCACTGTCTATTCAAATCCCACTAAGTTCCATTCAGATTTGGACTTTAAGATACATGAATTTGGTCTTCTTGATTTGCACCAGGAAGGAGAATCAATCAGAAAATCCATGTCGTGATGTTCTCTAGGCTAGCCACGTTGGGCAATTTCATACATATTCCTATATATAATTGTGTCGTGAAGATTACTCAATGAAGAAACCACATGCAATCATCCAACACATAGAGATTATGCAACCGTGAATTAATGATTAACACAAAATAGATTCACATATATATCGAGACATGCAGACACATATATATATATGCATGTACTCAAACACACCTACGTATATCTATATTATGTTATAATTTGTATCTAATTACCTTATCTGAGCTAATGAAATGTGATCTCTTGACAACCTTAAGATACGAACTCCCGCATGCTTGCCCATGCGTAACCTGTGATGGTCAGACAGAAGAAAAAGGCCACCACAACCCCATAAAGATTCATCAAAAAGTTTCTGAGATATCTAGATTATATGCCCAATTACCTTATCGAATTTCTTGAGTATTTTGGTGAAGGCAACGATGTTGAGTGAGCTGCATTTACATATATAAACCAAAAAGTATGATTAACCAGGAACACCAAAACACATCCATTGATAAAAAATATAATATTTGAAATTAGGCCTGTGTACCTTGATTGTATGAAGATGACAGAGGTAATGTATGATGCATGCATTTTTCTTGAATATTCATTGTTTCTTCATGTCATGTCATGTCATGTCATTTATTATTTGTTTGCAACGTTCATATATTTCATCGATAATAAAACTAAAGCAAGAAAAGCAGCAGATTTTCTCACAAAAGTAATTATTAACATGCATCAATTCAGGGAGTATGATACTACAACATGTGATACATACCCAAAATACACTTAACTTTGTTGCCTTTATAACTTATTTTGAAATTATTTGGTTAGAGTTTAAATGAATAAAACTACATTATAGTAAGTATTAGAGAAGCTGAGGACACAACATTGAACACTTACATATAAAGCATATGATATTGCCTCTAAAATAAATTAGACTATACATATTGAATTACTTTGATAACTAACAATCAGATATAGCTATGCATGCACACATGAAATCAGATATATATATATATATATTTAAATACCTGTAGGTTTTGAGCAATCCAAGTCCTCTGTAGAGCTCCACGAATGCTCCCCTTATCATCTTCTCTGCACACTGAATCTTGTGTCTGTTAATTCTGCATTCTCCTCCTTTCTTAGGGTTGTTCACCAAATCCTCCCAAAGCGCCGCCGTCACAGTGGCAATCGTGCGCACCGGCGTGGTGGCTGGAATGTCAATCCTCATAGCCATCCCCAGTTTAGGCTTCCCCTTCTTTCCTTTTGCTGCTGTATTATTATTCACCTGCAAATTTATACCATTTTTCTCCAGAGCCGTAATGATATCGTCGTCTCCTCGAGAATCTGGACTGTCGCAATATTCATCGCTATGCTGACTTTCTGCATGGGGCCATATATATGTATATATGTTATTTGTTGAAGTAAATTGTTCAATATGAAATATAGTGAATGGAGATCACTAATTCAATGGAAATTTTTGGCATATATATATATATATATATATGAAAGATGCGAAATCTAATTGCAGAGCTACAACATTTCCAATTTTTCAGTGGAATGTCGTGTCGCCCCATCTTAAATTTCCAAGTAATCACAATTAATTTAAGCCACGCACTAAAGATATATAAATAAATAAAGTTGCCAATTTAATTTTGGGTTTTTTTATATATATTTTTTATTGCTATGTTAACTAACCGGAAAAGTCGGAGTTCCCGCTCAATGAAGAATTCGATCGAGAGAAGAGACCAGAGACGCCGCCTCCGCCGAAGCTGTATGATTTTTTCCGGCGACGATCTCCGAGAACTCTCTTGATGTCGAGCAAGATCTGGAGCTGCTTATGTAGTAATTCTCCTCTCTCCAGGACCTCGGTTTCCTTCGTTGTGTAGAACTGGTTCACTTTGTTGAGCTCGTCGTCAAGGATCTGGAAAAAAACCTTCACCTGTACGGCCATGGAACTTATGAGCATGTACAAATTTATCATTACTTAAAAATGTTAGCTAATTAATTGCCTCATCTTCTTCAGAGAACAGCTGAGCAAGCTCAGTTTCAACGATTTCTTCTCCATCTTCTTCGGCTTCATCAATTGCTCTGCACTTCACCTGAAATTGCGAAATTAGTGTTAATCAACGTGTAAAATCTAGTATCCTTACTCAATTTTCCGAAAATTAACTATCCAGAAAAGCGATAAAACATTAATTTCATTCCAGGCAGTGTACCTGATCAACGATTTTCCGATTGTCATCTCCGCCGCCATTCCGCGATTGAACGGTTAATCTATTCAGGAAAAGTCCGATCGGATGGAGGATTGAGCGCCGGAGGCCGCGGTTGGAATCCGGAGCGCGTTTCAGTTTTCTGGATAGCTTAATCTTCTTGACTTGCTTTTTGAGAAGCCAGTAATTGACGAAGGCATCTTTCCATTCAGGAATTAGCTGAGCTTCAAGCTCCTTGGAAAACTTCACCATGTCCGCGGTGGAGGACGACTGGAAGGAAGGAGAAAGGTGCGGGGGGATTCTGCTTAAATAGGCGACGTGTACATGCACCGATCGCCTCCCATTTTAGGCCTGGGCATTCAATTGAAATTGTTTGAATATCCATCCTATATTTGAATTAAAATAAATTATATTCGGATTTGGGTTTTTGGGTCGAATCAGAGGTATTAATCTGATGTCCAATAAGCCCATTTGGATATTCGATCGGCGTAAAAGCTTCTATTGATCCAAAGTGTAAATTAATAGTTTAGTTTAATTTTATGTTTAAGTTTTGTTAAAAATTTTGGAGAAAAATAATTAAAGTGTGTTATTGATGTCAAAATAAGACAATACAAACAGACTCGATAGATTCAAATCTAAATAATATAATCTATAGATAAGACCAAATCTAAATATAAATTTATTAAATCTAAACCGAATATTTACAATATCTCGACATATCTCAACATCCCCTCAAACTCAAGTGGGTGCCATAGAAATCAACTTGAGTTTGTCCAAGAGCAATCGGAAGAGGTTGGGAAGAAGAGACTTGGTGAAGATATCTATTATCTGATCTGCAGAGGAGACCGAAATGAGATGGACAATACCACCGACGACATGTTTTCGAATGAAGTAACAGTCAAGCTCAATATGCTTGGTGCGCTCGTGAAATGTATCATTGTGGGTCATCTTCATAGCACTCTGACTGTCGCAATAAAGAGCCGTAGAAGATGACTGAGGAACACCAAAATCATTGAGTAATCGAAGAAGCCATAAAAGTTGACGTAGAGTCAGCAAGGGTACGATACTCCGACTCGGCACTCGATCAAAAAACTAAAGTCTGCTTCTTGTTGCGCCAAGAGATGGGAGAATCACACAAGAAGAAGCAGAAATAAGTGGTCGAACGACAATCAGTAGGATCACCAGTCCAATCAGCATCAGAGTAACCACTGAGAGTTAAAGACGAATGAGAGGAAAAGTGCAAACCATGCAAGAGAGTACCTTTCACATAACGAAGAATATGTAAGACGGCAGAGTGGTGAAAGGTCCTCAGGGCCATGAACTGACTCATAATATGAACTGCTGGTGGAGTGACAGTCAAGCAAGAAGAGAGCCATCATGAGGAGTAAGTCGAATGCCATAGGCAAGTGGTGTAGAAGCTACCTGACAGTCTGTGAGACCAGCTCAAGCAAGGAGATAGGAAGACATACTTAGCCTGAGAGAGAAGAGAAAATGGGGAGAATTAGAGACTTTAAGCCCCAAGAAGTAACGAAGGGGACCCAAGCTCTCAATCTCAAACTACTGGCTAAGATAGGCCTATAGATCAGAAATACTAGACGCATCATCTCCCATGATAATCATATCATCAATATAAAGCAAGAGTATAACTCCCCCAGATGAAGAACGACGAAGAAATAGTCCAGAGTCGTAAGCGCATGTGGTAAAACCAAACTCCAATAGTGCAACACAAAATGTGGCATACTAAGCCCGATGGGCCTGTTTCAACCCATATAAAGTGCGACGTAAGCGACAAACCTTTCCAGAGGACGAGAAACCTAGACGGGGAGTCATATAAACTTCTTCAAAAAGTGAGCCATGTAAACATGCATTCTTGACATCTAATTGAAGAAGAGACCGCTGACGAGCAACAACAACGACAAGAAGACAACGAACAGTAGTGAGACGAGCAACGAGAGCAAAACTTTCCTCATAGTCAACTTCATACTCTTGGAAATAACCTTTGGCCATCAGACGAGCCTTGTAGCGCTCAATTGAACCATCAGAATTAGTCTTGATTTTAAACCCACTTGCACTCAATAGGTGTCTTGCCAAAAGGCAAATCCATTAAATCTCAAGTGTGAGTTTTTGCCAGAGCCTCAAATTCCTTAGTCATAGCTTCCTGCCATAAAGGATCAGCACTCAGCCTCACGAAATGACCTAGGCTGATGATGAGATAATATGGCGAGTAACGATGATAATCACGCAAGTGAGGAGGAGGACGACTCACTCTATGTGATCGACGAGACCGCAGATGGATCATCATCTGGAGACAAGGTCGGAGGTGGATTATAAGCCTCAACTGGGGGTGGATCAGAAGCCTCAACTGGAACAAGATCCAAAGGCGGTGATAGAGCCGTAGGATTAGGATTAGGAAACAAAGGAGGACATGCCGACAGGAAAGAAGGTGAACCAGGAATAGATGGGACATGAAATTTAGACATGTGGAAAATATGAAACTCTCCCAAAAGTTAACATGATGAGATATACGCAACCGTTTAGAAACCAGATCCCAAAGCCTATAACCTTTATGCTCTGACCCAAAACCAAGAAGACAATATACATGCGCATGAGGTTCTAATTTGGAACGTTCATGCGGAGGGATAACGAAAAAACCGACATAACCGAAAGGACGAAGGATACTATAATCGGGTGGCTGACCGTATAGATGCTCGAAAGGGGTGCTATTATGGAGGACAAATGATGAAATATGATTTATTGTATAGACAAAAATGAGGGTGGCTTCTCCCTAGAACCTATCAGGACAAGAGACAAACAAAAGGGCTGCACGAACAATATCTAGAATGTGACGATGTTTACGCTCAACGCGACCATTCTGTTGAGAGGTGTATAGATAGGAACACTGAATCAATATAACTTGAGCAAAGAGAAAATTTAATAAGGTAGAATCTCTATACTCAAGGGCATTATCAGTACAAAGGGTCTGTATAGGACAAGAAAATTGAGTTCACACCATTTGAGCAAATTGAATGTATGTTTGAGGTAATTCTAAACGGTGTTTGAAAAAATATGTCTATGTAAAACGGGAGTAATGATGTGACCATCACGAGAGCTACCGATCCATCAATGTTTCTAGCCGAACTGATTTTCCGGAGCGAAGCACAAAAGATTCAAATGGCTATGTTATTCTTGGATAATCGTGCTATGGACTCCATTATCGAGGAAATTTCCGAAGATAGACAACCTATGGACTATTATAAGTTTGATTCTCCGATCATTTAATCATCCCTAGATCATCATTAGAAGATCCGAGACTTCCTACCAAGACAACAAACAAAGAATATCAATAATATGGAAGGAGTCCAGAGTTTCCATTTTTACCTATTTCCTTATAGTATATGTTGCCTTCTTTATTCCATGATTGGTTTAGAGATTTTGTGTTGCGTGCTGCCTAGTTCTCACGTGGTGCTAATCCGACCAACCATGTGGATCGAGAATCCATATTATCCTTATTTATTCCTTGTTTGGTTTAGAGATTTTGTGTTGCGTGTTGCTTAGTTCTCACGTGGTGCCTATCCGATCAACCTTGTGAATCAAGAAACCAAAGTATCATTCTATCTATATCCTCTTCATCTCTCTTTCTTCTACCAAATTCCGCATCTTTCTATTTCTTTATTTTATGTGGTTTGCGAGTTTCCGAATCCTTCGGTTGCCTTCGCATCATCTGGTATCAGAGCTAGTTCATACAATCTCTTGATTGATATCACAGTTCTTATTTGAAAAAAAAAAGAAAAAAATGTCGAAAGCTAATGAATGTGGGTTGTATAGTGGTTATTAGACATATGAATACGGGTAATCCACAGGCGTGTGCCGCTCACCCGGACCAAATAATGTGATCGTAGGTTTAGACTTGAGCTTGGTGAATGCTAAATTTGATAAAATCTATTATACTCCGGAGCCAAATCGAAACAACAAAATATTTTGTTGAAGTCCAAGAAAATATAACCCAAAAAATATAATTACATCATGTATGATAAATGACTATTTTGTATTAAAAAACTTAAAATCAATCATCATGAATAAAATAAATTACGATGGTTACTGAACTTAAGGCTGGCAGTTACCGGCCATTAAAGCCGGAAGTTTCAGTTTGCCATTGATTACCCCCGAGGGGGGAGTGCCTATAAAAGGCCATTCCCATCACCCTATTTTGAGATTAACACCTCCACTTCCTCTCCATCTCATTTCCTCTCTTTTTTTTTCAACGAGTTTTTCGGCGAGTTCTGGTTGATATCCGAAAACTCTCATCCTTCATTTGATCATTTTGCGATGTAACATAATCTAGAGATAATATGTTGATTTATCTTTGAGAACGCTATGCCAAGAATTGGAGGCACTATCAGAGCGTATTCGTTTTACGAAGAGAAGTTTTATTCTCGACTCGACATGATTATCAAATTATTTTTCAATAATTATTTTGATATTCTCATGATATAATAATTTTCCAACATATAACATTTAATTCTTTTAACAACTTTAAAATTAGATTATTTAGGATTGGATCAAAATCTTATACATACACCAACACTAAATGAAATATCAAGTTGACTGACAGTAAAAAAAAAAAAAAAAAAAAGCTTCCTATCATAAGTTTATAAAATTTTTAATATACAGAATTCTTGATATATATTTTGATAGCTTTTATATGTTTTCTCATTAGTGTGAGAATAATTTCTAAATTATCTCATCCAAATATTTGACTAATATTTTTATCTATAGGAGCAAAAGTTTCTTTATACTCTAAACCTTCAATGGTTTTTTTTTTGTGTTATTATAATTTTCATCAATTTTATTATTGAAAATTCATTAGGTAGGTATGTTATCTAATATTTATCACATAAAACTTATTTAATATTCTTGGGGTTCTATGTTAGAAATAAAGCAATTTAATTATGCTAATTGATAAAACATATATTATCCTATATTTGAATAGATAAATTATAAAATATAATTAATATTTTGGATAGTTTTCTACTAATTTTTGACATGTCATTGATTGGTGCAAGAGAATGGAGTGATTCACGTCTATGTTAAATTCTCGGTCAAATAATTATAGAAGTGCTTGATTTAAGCTCGTATGTCAAGGAAAGTGATGAATTATGGGGATAGAGGCGTAATCGTAGGCGTGATGATTGGGAGAGAGTGATTAAAGAACGCAATTGAAGACTCGATCATCCATAAAAGGGGAACAAGGCATTGAACTAAGCATTACAGCTTACACTCACATTTCATGGCTTGAAGGATTGGGTGAGGCATAGGAGATAAATAGTCACTGGAAGATCATCATTATCTTT